GCCCCCTGGTGGGCTGAGCTGGCCACACACACCACACACACTCATTCTCTCTCTGTCTCTCTCTTTGTCTCTCTCTCTCTCTCTCTCAAATAAATAAAAAAAAAATAAAAAAAAAGATTTATACAATATGGGTATATTATCTAATTCTTGTAACTGTCTATTAAAAAAATGGGACAACTGAGACAAAGAGACATCTAGTAATTATTAAATAATTAAAGGAACTAGTAAGTAGATAAAATAATTGATATTAGTACCTATTAAGTATAAAATACACATAAAATTTTAATACTTATATAAACAAAGCAATTTGAAAACACTTATCTTAAAATAATACTCTGGATATTGTAATTATTAAAGTGAATAATTTTATCTGCTTTTTACTTTTTAAATGTGCCTACTGGAGGCAGGACATTTGTTGTACCTATCCTATCCCTAGCAAGTGCTGTAAGCTGTGAAACTCCAAAATTATGTATCTGCCTTCACTCTACTTCATTACTTACAATTTACTTGAGTTTGTAATTACCTCAATATGAAGAGGGTACTACTATATATAGGTCAACCAGGATTTCTCAATATGTGTCAGTATCCTAAACTCTCATAAATTTGGATTAATAAAAACATCCTGATTCTTTCTTTCCTTCCCTCCTTCTTTCCCTTCCTCTTCTTTTCCTTTCCTTCCCTCCCTCCCTCCCTTCCTTTTCTTTCCTTCCTTCCTTCCTTTCTTCCTTCCTTCCTTCCTTCCTTCCTTCCATTATTGAGGTACTGGGGATAGAACTCAGGACCTTACATCTGCCAGGCAGGCACTTATCCCATTGAGCTATCTCCCTGGCCCCCTGGTTTAAACTTTAGTTACTCTTCTTCTACTATCTTCCCCAAAGAGTTATAAGATATAATCTTACAGCAATACATGCATACTGATACTTATAATGGCATACTTCATAATAGCTAAATCTTAGAAGCACCCTATATATCCATCAACAGATGAAAAGATAAACAAAGCATCACATTTATACACAATGGAGTACTACTCTGCCATAAGGTATAAATTTTTGTCATTTGTAGAAAAATGAATACCTTGAGATCATGTTAAGTGAAATAAAACAGACATAGCTTAAATATCACTTGGTGTTTCTTAGATGAGCAACCCAAAATACAGAGAACAAAATACAAGACACAGAAGGAATTAGGGAGATCATTTAACAGGAAAGTGACCATGAGATGAAGGGAACAGGGAAGGAGAGGAGGGGAAAGGGATGAAAAGGGAATTGAGATGTGTTATGTGTTATGTAAATGAAACAACTCCCTGCAAAAATTGTAATCATTATGTACTGCAAACCTGTACCAATAAAAGTATGAACTGAGAAATCAACTAAATTTTAATTGAACAATTCTAATATTTATTATCATTCATTGTTGCTAATGAAACTACTGTTCAGATCTTGATTTGAGAATTGTCTTTTAAAGTACCATGACTGAATGTTGTAAATACTAGGGAATTTTTAGATTAGTTTAACTCTGTGTAAGGCATATCACGGATGTACTAAGACCATATTAAGATAAATAGCAAGACAAAAAAGCAAAGCAAGTAGAACAATACTAAAAGAGCATAACTACAAGTCATTAAAATAAAAATCCACATCTTCTTGTAACAGGATTAAAATTAAAACTAAAAAGTTTTCATTTGATGTTATTAAACTGACTCAATTAACAGTTCAGATTGTTGGGATATTAATGAAAACCAGGCGTGAACTACATTAGTGAGATCTGTGATAAAATTACTGAAGGATACAGAAGTGCAGAAAAGTACAGAAAGGTTTAGAAACTTTAAAATTGTTCCAAAATAAGTTTTAAAACACCTTTCATTATAAGATAGGCTGCTTATAATTAAAGCATCCTACAAGAATAGTTATCCAAATGTTTGTTTTTGGTTGTTTGAAATAGATCTCACTAATTCAGGCTGACCTTGAATACTTTATGTAGTCCAGGCTGGCCCTGAACTTGCAGGGATCCTTTTGTCTTTATTTCTCAAGTGTTGGGATAAAGACTTGTACCACTATACCTGACCAATGACAATGGTTTGAATGTTAAAAAGATGAAGAAATGCATGTGGTTTGACATATTTTAATTTGTACTTAATGGCTATATGATATATGCATATGTATATGAATAGTATGCTAATTAATAGTAGAGCTACTAAGTATGATCAAGTGATTTAAAATAGAGGCAAACTGGAGGGCTTTTATATATGAGAAAAGAGGTAAAAACAAAAATATTGAGAAAAATCCAGTAAACAGAAACAGTCTTTTAAAAAGCTAAGGAAATAACTGAGTTGCAAGTGTTTTGTTTTTTTTTTTAATGGCAATTTTCAAGATTAAACTTACTTTAGCCCAGCTTTATTTTCTATTTCTGACTAAAATGAAAATGACTGTAACTTTACCAAGTATTTGCTCTGACCTTTGAAATGATTTCTGAAAGTGACATTTCTATTTTCATAGCACTGTTAAATATAGATATCAAATATCTATGAATATACTATATCATCAATATTCCATAGGTAACAACACTCAGGCCTAGTTCTTAAAGTGGCTTATATTATACTACACTACACTACACTAAACTACAATACACTGTTCTTTCCAGTATATGTACACTTCTATCTTAGAACAATGGATATACTCTGAGGTGGAATTCTCTTATACTGTAGTTAATGTATAAAAGTATTACACGCTGGCAGTGACAGTGGTAATGATATTACAGTAGTATTATAGACAGTTTAATCAGATAAAATTAATAGCCATGGAAGGGATCAGACCCTTGAGAGTGTCAGTCCAGAAAATTGGACACATCAAGATTGTGGCTGTAGGATAACCTGAAGACAGACAAGCCTAAAGATGGAGACACAATAGCCAAGCCTGAAAGTCTCTCTAGAGATAAAGAGCAGGTTGAGAAAATATTATCCTTATCACCACCTAGTCTAGTGAGCCCAGACAGGCATCAGGTGCATATGTAGCCGACCAGAAAGTCTGGGAACATCCTTTTCCAGGAATGCCTTTGTTCTTTCTATGATGAGTAGTTACAGATAAGCTAAAGTTAACAATGCTCAACATATACCTTTGTTACCTGCCTTGATTCCTTATTGGGTCAATATTAGCTAAGTAAAATACTCATGATCCTACAGATTGACTATTGTTTAACACATGTTGTGATTTTGTTGTATAACTTACCCTAGAAAAAGAGCCACCCACACGGGACTCCTGAAAACACAGGAGCTAAGTTTCATCTTTTTATTTTGAATAAAACTCTCCTCCTTTGATTTGGAATTTCATTCACTGATGTCGTAAGACCATGAATTCAGAACATCTAACATGGAGCAGGTAGGATACAATAGTAGTATTAATTTCAGTATTCCCATGCCTGGGCCCAGAAGTGTTTCAGATCTCAATTTTTAAATTTGGGACTATCTACATGTACATAATGAAATACTTTTGGAATAGGACCCAGTTTTAAACCAGTATTTATTTTGGTTTGAGATAGATTTTATTCATATAGCCTGGAAGCAATTTTATAAAATATTTTCCTGTACCTGCATTTGGACTGTGACCAGTTGTCATATGAGAGCAGGTGTTTAATTTTTTTTTTTTTTAATTTGTGTTGTGCATTGGTGCTCAAAGTTTCAGATCTTGAAATATCTCAGGTTTTCAACTTTCAGACTAAATAAGTTTAATCTGTATATAATATATAATATGTGCCAAACATTATATCAGTCTTTACATACATTTGTAATTGAATTGTTATAACCTATAATGATTATGAAAAAATATTTTCTTTCAAAGGCTAGAAGTGGCAGAGCCTTTGAGATTTAACAGTTCTAGGGGCTGGTGAGATAGCTCGGTGGTCTAAAGCACCTGCTTAGGCAAGCTTAGGCAAACATAGGGACCATGGTTGGATCCCCAGCACCAAATGCCACACAAGCGTCACCCCCAGAGTGGACTGAGCTGGCCATTAAAAAAAATCAGTTGTAGAAAACTGATAAGAGGATTATAAAATTCATACAGAAATTCAAGGGGTACAGAATAGTGAAACCATCTTGAAAAGATTTTGAATCCCTACTTCCTAATATCAGATTACTACAAATCTACAGCAATCAGTACAATGTGATAATAGCATAAAATAGACATATACAACAATAAAATATATGTGATAATCTAAAAATAAACTTCAGCTTCAGGAGTAAACGTTTTTGTGCTCCTTTTTAATCTGGTATGAAAACTTTATATTTACTAAACTTGGATTTTAAACATTTTAAAGTGTGTGATTCAGTGGGATTAATTAGATGCAGAATACTGTCTATTACTGCTGTTTCCAAAATCTTTCTATTACCCTGAAAAAGAAACTATAACTAGTAAGCAATAACTCTCCATTTTCTCTTGCACCTGCCCCTGGTAAATATTAATGTATTTGCTGTGTCTATGAATTTGCCTATTGTACACATTTCATCAAGTGG